CCATCTCATCCCCCTCCTCCTTTCTTCTTCTTCTTCTTCTTTCTCTCGTCCTCCTCCTCCTTTCCTCATCTTCTTCATCTGATCTGCATCGCCCTCGTCCTCACCATCTCATCCCCCTCCTCCTTTCTTCTTCTTCTTCTTCTTTCTCTCGTCCTCCTCCTCCTTTCGTCATCTTGAGGTTCTTCTTCTTCTTCTTCTTCTTCTTCTTCTTCTTCTTCCTCTCCTCCTCCTCCTCCTCCTTTTGTATTCTTCTTCTTCTTCTTCTTCTTCTTCTTCTTCTTCTTCTTCTTCTTCTTCTCCTGCTCGTCCTCCTCCTTTCGTCATCATCTTCTTCTTCTTCTTCTATCCTTGTCCTCCATCTCCTTTCTTAATCTCGTTTTCTTCGTACTGAACAAGAAGAAGATGGCGAGGAGGCGGAGAACATGGCGAGGAAGAGGAGAGGAAGAAGAGGAGGAGAAGGAAAAGAAGAAAAAGAGGAGGAGAAGAACAATAGGAGGAGAGGAGGAAGATCAGGAGGAGGATAAGAAGAAGAAGAAGAAGAGGAGGAGGAGAAGAATAAGATGAGGAGGAGGAGGAGGAGAACAAGAAGAAGGAGAAGATGACGAAAGGTGGAGGAAGACGAGGAAGAGGAGGAGGAGGAGAAGAAGAAGATGACGAGGAGAAGAAGAAGATGAAAAATCTTCTTCTTCTCGTCGTCATCTTCTTCTTCTCCTCCTCCTCCTCTTCCTCATCTTCCTCCACCTTTCGTCACCTTCTTCTTCTTTTTCTTCTCCTCCTCCTCCTCCTCATCTTCTTCTTCTTCTTCTTCTTCTTATTCTTCTTCTCCTCCTCTTCTTCTCCTTCTTCTCTCCTCGTCCCTCTACCTTTTTGCACTTCTTCCTCCTCTTCCTCCTGTCGCCTTCCTCCTTGTCGTTTTTTTTTTTTTTTTTTTTTTTTAAACACATTTCGGATTCTTACACTCGTGCATCGCTTCGCAGGTGACACAGCAGCAACCACGTAAGTAGCTGCCACGTGAGCAGAGGGAGGAGGTAAGCAGCCGCCACGTCAACGACTGCCACGTCCGGACTTGCTGCGTCAGCAACTGCCACGTGAGGAGGTGCCACATCGGTAGTTCTCGCCGTAGCAGCCCCACGTTTGCACCCCCCCGCATTCCCACTTGCAGTGTCCGCTGTCGGGTGACATGGCGAACGAGCCAGAGGAGGTTGAGGAGCCATTCAAGGAGGACATGGCCTGCCAGGGACCACGTGGTGTGGAGCTGGGTGACTCCTGGGCAGATTTTGCCGGGCATTTCTCGCGGGTCAAGAAGGCTGTGCTGCAAAATCTGCAACAAGGAGTACAAAGGAAACCGGAAACGTGCATGGGAGCACTTCATCACGGCGAGGGCGTCGGCCAGATGTCCGGGTGCGAACCTCTCCATTTGGAAGAGGCTGCACCGCATCGGTGCGAAGCTTCCACGGGATCTGTTGGAGAGGGTGCAAATGGCGTTGGAGCACGAAAGGGACGACGGCATTCCTGACGTGGTAGGTGCTGGAGAGGAGGGGGGAGGTGGGATTGCTGATCAGCCTGAGGAAGCACGTGGTGAGGAGGGTGAGGAGGGATTGGATGAGGGGACGAGGGGAGTTGTGACTGGAGGATCCGCCGGTGGAGGGAGGCCTGCGTCCTCGCAGGCTGTGATGCAGGGGCCCCGCGCACGCAGAACGGGGAGGCAGACGAGCATCAAGAGGTATGCGAAGAACCCAAGGCAGGAGGAGATAGATGACTCCTGCTCCGAGTTCTTCGTGAAGAACGCGATCCCGTTCAACGTCGCGAAGAGCAGGAGCTTCAAGAAGTTCAAGTGGGCGTGTTATGGGCCACAGCCTGCAGCGAGTCACCTTCTTGTGCCTACTGGGTACAACCCCCTCAGATGTTGGCTCGTGGATCGCTTGAACAAGAGGTTGGAGGACGAGGAGCAAGTGATCCGGGACGACTGGGAGGTGACGGGCTGCACGTTCATAACCGATGGGACCACAAACATCTGTGGTCAATCGCTTATCAACTACATCCTCACAGTTCGGTCGAAGCCTGTTTTCATCAAGTGCGAGGATGTCAGTGAGGGGGACAAGGACTCCGCAGTTGTCGTGGCCGGATGGAAGCGTTTTTTCAGGGAGTGGGGGGTGGAAAAGATCACGGCTGTCTTCACGGACTCTTTTGCGGGCAACACGAGTGCTGCAAGGATGTTGAGGGAGGACCCCGAGTTCAGCCAGATCTATTGGCTGCCTTGCACCGCTCACTGCATTGACCTCCTCCTGCATGACATTTGCAAGAAGGAGTGGGCGGCTGAGATCATCAGCAAGGCGAACAGAGTGGTGAACTTCTTCCGGGTTCACAGATGGCCTAGATCGATATTGAGAACTGCACTTGCCAAGTTCACGGACTTGAAATGCAGCTGTCTCCTCCGACCGGCGCAGACAAGGTTTGGGACGCACTACGTGATGCTGCATCTCCTGGAGGTCTGCGAGAAGGCCATCAGACGCATTGTCTCCGGGTAGGAGTGGGAGGCGCAGGTCCGGCGAGGGGACATCAGGGCCAAGGCCTTCTTCGTGGAGGAAACATTTCTTGACAGGGTCTTCTGGACCGATGTCAGGAAGCTGATTGCCATCATGAAGGGGCCCTATGATGTGTTGCGAGAGGTGGACAAAGATGTTCACTGCTTATCACGCATCTACGATATGGCGTGTCGGTTGCCCGACTTCGTTCTATCAGCCCCTTTCAGTGCAGAGTAGCGAGAGGACATCCTCAGGGACGTGGGGAACATGATGGATATGCTGCTCAGCCCCATCCACATTGCGGCTCGGCTCTTGGATCCTCAGTTGAGGGACATTACTGTTTTCAGTAATGTCGACCTCATGACACAGTTTATGAGTGTGGTAGAGAGGCTCATCGGGAAGAAGGGGAGTACGAGATTCGATGACTGTATGGACCAGCTTTACGACTTCCTGTTCGGGCGAGGAGTCCTCGACACCCCACACGCAAAGAAACGGGCTGCGAAGAACAATGCGGTGCTGTGGTGGGAGGCGCATGGGGCGGGGCATCCGGAGATTCGTAAGCTGGCCATCAGAGTGTCGTCGATATGGACGACTTCCTCTCCTGCTGAGAGGAACTGGAGCACTTGGGCTCTCGTGCAGACGAAGTGCAGGAACAAGCTGCACCACCAGCGCACCAAGGCTGAAGAGTAGGGGGGATGACGGGCCCATGATAGTAGGAGGGTGGCTGGGGCTCTCAGCTGACTGGGAGGACGAGGACCTGGAGGGTGACATGGCAAATGTCACAGAGGCCGTTGATGACCACGAGCCTGCTATCGGGGGCGCCGGTTCTGCGGTGGCCAGCACTAATGTTCGCCACGATCGAGCCGGCCCATCGACATCGAGGTCTGTGCAGAGATTGGGGCATGCAGAGGAGGTTGACGATGAGGAGGAGGAGAAGGAGGAGGAGGAGCACATTCCCGGTGAGGAGTGGGTGGACGAGAGGTCGGACTCCGACAGGTCTTGGACGAGGAGAGAGGACGCCCCAGTGATTCCAGGGACGTGATGTGGATTGCGATCCCAGACTCAGCCTCGTGGAGAGGAGCGCCAACTGGACGAGAAGCAGAGGAGGGAGCAGCAAGAGGAGGACGAGGAGGAGGAGGAGGAGGAGGAGGAGGAGGAGGAGCATGGGGAGGAGGGGCAGGGGGGGGAGCAGGGGGAGGAGGAGCTTCAGGAGGAGCAGCAGGTGGAGGAGCTTCAGGAGGAGCAGCAGGTGGAGGAGCAGCAGGTGGAGAAGCAGCAGGTGGAGGAGCAGCCGGTGGAGGAGCAGCAAGGGACGGAGCAGCAGGTGGGGGAGCAACAGGTGGAAGAGCAGCCAGTGGAGGAGCAGCAGGGGACGGAGCACCAGGTGGGGGAGCAACAGGTGGAGGAGTAGGGGGAAGGGTGTGCAGCATCGCACTGACGTGCGATCGTTTTATGGTGGCAGTCACTAGTCGCCTCTAGTCAGGCAACACAGAGCACATCCCAGCCGTGTATGGGATCCCCTCGCCTATCGTGCGCAGCGAAGCAGAGGGAGGTCTGCTTCGGCACGTGCGAGAGGAGGCGCTACCGGGGCTGCACGAGCCACAGGGCGAGGGAGGTCCGCTACCGGGCCTGCACGAGGCACAGGACGTGGGAGAGTTCGGCCGCGCAAGGACAAACAACCCGTTGCAGCACCGACAGCGGAAGAGTCGGATGACGACTCCGGGGAGAGTGCGCCGCTGCACAGGTCGAAGAAGAGGAGGACAAACGGTGCACCAGAGGGAGACACATAGATGGAGAGAGATTGAGAGAGAGGGTGTGTGCGTGTGTGTGTGTGTGTGTGTGTGAGAGAGAGAGAGAGAGAGAGAGAGAGAGAGAGAGAGAGAGAGAGAGAGGAGCCCGTTATCTTTCTCGACGTTGTGGACCACACACCTTGCTGCTTGTTTTCACCTGAAGCCCTGAAAATAGTGAAAAGTTGCTTTTGCATTCGGTTTTGTTTGTGTGCTTCCTTGTCCTGCACTCCTCCTATGTGTGTGTGTGTGTGTGTGTGTGTGTGTGTGTGTGCGTGTGTCTGTGTGTGTGTGTGTGTGAGTGAGTGAGTGAGTGAGTGTGTGAGTGCAGCGAGTGTGTGTACGTGTGTGTGTGTGTGTGAGCGCAGCAAGTGTATGTGTTGTGTCAGTGTGTGACAGACTGTCTGTCACAGTCTGTCACAGTCTGGTGAACACTCTGTCACGATCTGGTGGGCAGCAAACACAAACCAGTACAGAGTCTGTCAGGTAGGGCCCACCAGACTGTGTCGGACTGTCCAGCAGACTGTGACAGACTTTGAGTGTGAGTGTGTGAGTGTGTGCCAGACTGTGAATGTGAGTGTGTGACAGATAGTGACAGACTGTGAGTGTGAGTGTGTGACTGTGTGACTGTGTGAGTGTGTGACTGTGTGACTGTGAGACTGACTGACTGTGTGTGTGATAGTGTGAGTGTGTGAGTGTGCGAGTGTGCGAGTGTGTGAGTGTCTGAGTGTGTGACAGAGTGTGTGACAGACTGTGACAGACTGTGAGTGTGAGTGTGTGAGTGTGTGAGTGTGTGACTGTGAGTGTGTGASTGTGAGACTGTGACAGACTGTGAGTGTGATAGTGTGAGTGTGTGAGTGTATGAGGGTGAGTGTGTGAGTGTCTGAGTGTCCGAGTGTGTGACAGAGTGTGTGAGTGTGTGAGTGTGGGAGAGTGTGAGTGTGTGAGTGTGTGAGTGTGTGACAGACTGCCCACCAGACTGTGACAGACAGTGACAGAGTGTGAGTGTGTGAGTGTGTGAGTGTGTGACAGACGGCCCACCAGACTGTGACAGACAGTCACAGACTGTGAGTGTGTGACTGTGTGAGTGCAATGACTGTATGTATGTGTGTTTGTGCGTGTGTGTGTGTGAGTGCCGCAAGTGTATATATGTGTGTGTGTGTTATTGCAGCAAGCGTAGGTGTGTGTGTTACTGTGTGACAGAGTCTGTCACAGCCTGTGTCAAATGGTGACAGACAGTCTGTCACAATCTGGTGGGCAGCAAACAAAAACTGTAACAGAGGCTGGGCCCCACCAGTTTGTGTGTTGCAACGAACCAACAGACTCTGTCACAGTCTGTGTGTGCTGCCCAAAAGACTGACTGTGACAGACTGTGACGGGCAGTCTGTTACATGTGTGCGGCTGGTAGGGGACAGCACACACAGACTGTCACATACAGTCTGTCCAAGGGGGGGAAGGGCCCCGGGGGGCAGGTGTAATGAGAGCCCCCCCTTGGCAGACACAGGGGAGGGGAATAGGGGGTCGGGGAGGGGTTGGTCGGGGGTCGGGGACACCACCCATGCCCCCCCTGACCTATATATATATTTAAAAAAAAAAAAAAAAAAAAAGTTCGTGTTCGCTAATTTTCGGAGCCCGTTCGCGTTCGGGCGAACGTGTTCACGTTCGCCGGCAAACGCGAACGGGGTGCTGCGCAGGTAGCTCTTAAACAAAAAAAAGACATTAAGCAGAGAATTCAAAAATTCAATTTGGACTGGCTGGGGGATGCATCAGGGGAAAACCAGGGGGAGGTGGTATGGCCAGAAGGGGAAGGGGATCAGGTGTCCTTCAAGGGGGATTACCAGATCATCTTTCAAGACTGGTTTGACATCAAACCAGGAGCTTCCCTGAGAACGCCCGTATCTTTTTCTGACCACTTCCCTCCTTCCCAGCTTGCTTTCAAATTGGTAGATCCTCAGTGGTATGGGGAGCGAGAAGGATAATAGGCTGATAGAAGGAATTGGTGTGACTTGTTGAGTTTTGGGGCGTTTCTATGTGGTCTTGAAGGAGAATCTGCTTGTTGCATCACTTTTACCAGTCGGCCAGGCAGCTGGCTGAAGAGGCCGTTCAGTCTTCAAAAATGGATAGGTCTAGTAGCATCATCACCATCTTAGTACCAGTATCAAGAGTAGCATTATCAGTAGATGCTTAGTTCAAGTTTACAATAGAGTTATAGCATGGTTCTCTTCTTGGAAAAAAAAAAAAAAAGATCATCATCATCATCATCATCATCATCATCATCAGTGTCTCCATCATCATCAGTAGTGTCTGCATCTTTATTAGTATCTCAGGGCGCGGTTCCCAGCATGTGCATATCTATCATCTCAACATTGTATCTCAGGGGACGCTGGACCCGCTTTCCAGCAGGTGATAGCTCCCCAGAGTCCCCACCAATAGACTGGAGCACCCTGCAAGACAGGTAGGAGTGCATACTCGTATCATCACTCCTTTTCTTTTTTTTTCTTTTTTTTTTTGGGAAGAAGATCAACCTTTATTAATATCAAAGCCGGGAAGCGGGCCCGGCGTCCCTTACAAAAGTCGCCGCAGCTCTGACCTGAGCGAGGCTCTCCGGCCAGGCAGAGCTCATGCCACGACTGTTTCAAGGGCACAAATCCTTCTTCTCATCTTCTCCATAGCATCTCACTGTCCACACTTCTAAACAAACTACAATTCTAGATAAGCTTCAACTGTCAAAATAACCCTAATTCCTGTTTCCCTAACTCTATTTCCTATAACCAACAAAACCAACAACGACCAGACAAAATTGTAGAACTCCAAATACTACACAAAAACAAAACCCAATGACAAATATGTCAATAACAAAACAATCTCTCTCTCTCTCTCTCTCTCTCTCTCTCTCTCTCTCTCTCTCTCTCCCCCATACACAAGACCAATTCGCACAAGGCACGGCGCCCAAAATTGGACCAAACACCCTATCCTATAGCACCGACAAGCCAATCACACACGCAAAATTCACACCCTGAAGCACCAATGAGCCAATCACCCACACCAAAATCACAACGTGAATTAGCTTACAAACCAAGAACAAATATATATTAGCAGCTATTACTAGTACTCAACGGCACAATTCAAAGGGGCACAGCAGAAGCCAAACCCTAGATTAACCAACAAACCAAAAACAACTAATCAGTGGCAATTAGACACGCAATAGCAAGTTCATATCTCCGCATGTCAACTAGAGTACCAAAAGCCACAAGGCAGCAACCAGTCTATACTATAGACTATGTAATCCAAGCAATCACAGAGCCACTTCTCTCTCTCTCTCTCTCTCTCTGTGTATATATATGACGAAACAGTTTGTCACAGCCCCTCGTTTGTTGTCCTCTTCTCTCTCTCTGCCTACGGTTTACCGGGCAGTTCTATTTGTGACGATATATATATATATATATATCCACGAAGCAATGCCCCAAAGTTTTCCAAAACGAAAACAAAAACGAGGTCTCCTAGAGTCTAACACATCATCATTGCGATTAGAAAAGAACATCACCACAAGTTGTAAAAGGACTTAGAGAAGCCAATCGAAGCTTTCAGCAGCACCAACGTGCCAGTAGCAGGGAAGAAACATAGCCAATAGACCCGTCATCCCGAACTGTTGTCACAACGCCCTCATGTCACTACTCCCGTAAATGACCGGAGCTAATCAGCACGATTAGCATCACCTGGCAACAGGTTCCGTATCTGAAACCAGGGAAGAACCCCTGATTGGTTACAATTTTGGTATGTTGATGCGGCTGCAATGAACCCAGCTCGTGAAAACAGTTGTCAACAATGCAAGCCCAAATAAATGTCCATCTGGCATCTGCTGATGATTACTAATAGTCAAAATCGTAACCAGACAGAATGAGATGAGGTAATCATACACAGACGAAAAGAGAGGAGGGAGAAGAGACAAAGGAGAGGAAAGTACAATGCCCACTCCTGCTTCGGGCTCCCTCCTCTACTACCACCTCAATAATCAATAGTCTGAACGAGTATCTGAAGTATCCTCAATGTGCCACGTGGCACGTCTAATCAGTCCCACATCAGCACAGGAGCAATGTCGACATGAAGACAGCCAGGTACGTATCCACAAACTCTCCACAGTCCTGATCTCCTCCTGAAGTGACGATGAACAGAACAGCAATGCCGATCATGTGGTCCCAGCCATAGAACACGTGGCAGCAGCCACGTCAACCAATGATACACATGGCAGCAGCCACAACTGATTCAGCGACAGCGCATGGCAGCTGCCACGTCAGCATGCCAAGAAGACAGGAGCAAGCCGGCCACCATGCCGGACTAGCAGCGCCTTGCCAAGTCACAATGCCAGCGTCGCAGCGTATGAAGTCAACGCGTGAAATCAGCATCATCAACGCAAGACAGAATGAATGTCAAGGCCAGGAAGTCAGTTTCTATGTAGTGTTCATGCGGGGTCTGGACCCCGGATGCTATATCTCTCGGCCGTCCAGATCTCAATGCGAATGAGGGCCC